TAATATTAAAAATAAATATAGTTAGAAACATGTTTTCTTAATGGAAAAAAATTGTATCGATGTGTAAGAGTTAAATTTCCTGTTTTAACCTAGCTTTTTTAGGTAGGATATTTAAATATTAATATAATGTAATTGATTTGTTGTATAGTTTTACAAATGACTAGTCTTTGATTCAAAATAATACTACGAAATTGTTTTATCACAATACAGTTCTATATTTTATATAATATTTTATATAATATTTCTTATAATATGTAGTTGTTATAGTAATTAAACATAACATTTTATCTACTTGTCTAATAATACGCATATAATATACATATATATTAATTTAATAATCTATTAGATTCTGAGTGGAGCGATATTAATTTTACGTTGTTCTGTGTGTTTTTTGTGTTTGTGTGTGTATTTTTACACGATAAGTTGTTAAAATAATGCTTCGGTTTTTAACTTCAATAACTTTTCTGGTTGTATAGTGTATCTAGCTAGTGCATTGAGAAGGTCAAAATTTGTATTTGCCAGTTGTTTTCAAAAGCACCGTGAAAAAACAAAAACAAAATTAAGGAAAAACGGGAATTTTCACGAATATCAATTTCTGAGAAAATCAAATTTTAATATTGGTGTAACTYTAAATTACCGTAGATACAAGAAATTTTCACTGAATGTTTACACTGACATTTTGTGTACATGATAAGATTTTCAAAATATTTCAAATCATATGAAGTTGTTTATAGACAGTTGAAATGATCGAAATTTTTAATATTTTTGGTAAAAAAGTTTTAAAATTAAATTTTACGCATTTTTTTTTTGAAAGCAACTAAAATTCGAATTTTAACGTAAAAATCACTAAAATTTGCAATTTATTTTGTGTTAGAAATTTATAAACATATATCTTTTTAAAACTAAGGTTTGAAAATTTAATACAAGTTGCTTCATGAGTTTGTCTACTTTTATCAAATAAAAAATGTCTACTGGAATGTCAAATTAAACTTGTATGAGCATTTGAATTACAACATTGGATATTTACTCAATTTCTCTGGTACCTTTATTCTTATTTTTTTGTTATTCAAAAACAAATTATTGTAGAAAATTGAAATGTACACCAAATATTTATTTTATCAATTCCTACACTACAWCAAATGTTTCAATAATTTTTAAGTTATTTAAAGACATTTTAATTTTTTCGTATTTTTAGTTTTTATTTTATAAATTTCGATAAAATGTTATTGATTGGGTCGAGATTCCCCATAAGTTGATTTAATAGTAGTTGGAAAATACTAAAAATACATACAGAGGCACTTTTATTTTAACCATTTAAAATTCAAATGTTAACAAAATTTATTTAATTGAAAATTTACAAATTATTTAGTGAACAAAAATATATAAAACGATAAACTTTTATAGCTAAGGATTGAAAATTTAAAGCAAGGTTCCTCGTAAGTTGGTTAATTTTATGACAAAAAAATCTAAAAACTATACAAACAAAATTTTTTAAAGTTCAATTTATATATTTTATAGGTACCTATATTTTTGAAACCAATAAGTTTTCACATTATATGGAAAATTATGCATTTTTTTCTTTTAATTTATATTTTTTAGTCTATTCAGATATTTATAAACATTTTTGTTTTCAAAACAGCCCATAATTCTTGAAAACTCATATATTATACTCGTATGGTTATAAATTAAATTGAAATTAGTATAAAGTACAGTCGAGTCACGATAACTCGAATTTGAAGGGGGATACAAATTCGCTTAGAGATATCTATTATTCGAGTTACTTAACTTATTAATAAGGGAAGAATTTTATAGGGAAATTAAGAAAATTGAGTTGCCTAGTTTTTTGGCTGCATTTTACTTGCGTCCCAAAAAAAGTTATATGTTACAGGTAGTAAATTTGACTGGTAACTTGCGTCCCGTTTTGGAGACGCAAGTTGGCTATTTAATTAATATCGATATCGTGTCACTCAAATCAATAGTTCATAAACTATACTATATAATGAATCTCACTATTTAAATTGAATACATGAATTTTTTTATTATGCCAAAATATAAAAAATATGAATTTTATTATTATGACAAATTGTAAAAATTAAGAAATTTAAAATTAAAATAAATTAAAAATTAAATTAAAATGTGTTTTTTACCAACTTATTGATATCGATTATATKGGTGATATATCGATATTTTCGGGACGCAATTAGGTTATAAAAAAAGGTATTATAGAATGCAAATAGGCTATGACCCTTTTTGAATMTTTTTTGTGGAACGCAACTAACCTACTGATAATATTTTCGGACGCAAGTAGTATGCTCCCAGTTTTTTAAGTTATCGAGATTCTAGTTATCGCTGTACTATACATATATTATGTATACTTTACTTGTTTAAAATAATTGCCATGATAAGTTTATCAAATTAATTCAATAAACAACTTTTGGCTATAATATACTTCCAAATATCTGACTTGGTAATTTATTTAATTTAGAACATTATAGCATAATATTGCATAAATAAATATGCAACATAATATGTTGTGCACAACATATTAAAAATCGGTACGTAATTAAATGATAATCCCTGTGATATGTAAAAATCTGAAAAATGTGTAGTATGTTATTTAAGTTTCAAAAATTCGATTAATAACTATATTATTACCATTGTTTATAAATACTATAGTAGTAAATATAAATACTATAATATTTATAATCAATGTTATTACTCTTAAAATTAGTGATTAATACAATTTTAATATTATCATATAGTTACTTTATAATTAATAAAATGTATTTATTTTTTTTTTTTTATTATTATTAAAAAAAAAAATTATTTTTTTAATTAGTTTTAGATTATGTTAAAAAGGGTTTCTTTATACCGTTTATTTTTAAAGAATGTTTATAATCTATGGTTCGAGGTATTTTAAACAAATTATAAAACATTTTATACAGAAATATTTACCGTTTTAAAGGGTTAAATACATAACATTAAAAAAAATTAATACGATGACATAATATCTAATAATATGTAAATCATATTTAATTTTTTTCATTGTTTTAATAATATAAAAATAGTTCAGTGAATTATAACATCTTGCTTGTGGAATAGGTATCACCACTAATAAGTCATAATGCATTTTAAATTAAYGCTAAACCGATAGGTTTCACTACCAAAAACAATTTGAACCGTCCAGACTCCTACCGAACTACTGAACCACTCTAATCTTGAAACAATTTAAACTACTAACATTTTCATAATAATTACCATACAACTGTAAAACAAAATTTAATAATATTTAATTTAATTTTCTTTCTTCTTCTTTGTAATAATTATTGAAATAATAAATATGTATCTAAATATTAAAACTGTAATACCATATATATGCGTTGAGGGTTTTAGTTACCAAATGTCCAAATTATAATAAAACATAAAATAAATGACATGCATAAACTTACTATTATTTGAACTAAGTAAATAAATATTTCCGATTCCTTATTTCATTAAAACGTATTACAGTCCACGTCAAAATTAACTACTATCATCAATAATTATAGCTATACAAAGCACATGCAGCCCAACCTGTGAATTATACCATTATTTTTATATGTATATAGGTATTGTAAAAATATTCAGAAACGGTTTTATCGCGTCGCACTCTAAAACATCATAATACAATGTCAAAATGTACAATATATATATATCATTATAATATTATGATGTTTTGTACCTACCGATTATTTACCCATATCTAATGTACTGCGGGGCAAACGTAAATTGCACCCAATGAAAAAATTGTAAATTGCGCACGATATTTTTCAGGTACAAATTTCTTTGCAGTGAACTGCATCTAATAGAAATAATATTTTATGATAGTTATTTAGCATTGCCCAGAAGACACCATTATGAGGAGACTATCAATGTCCTCCAAAAATGTTTTTTTTTGGTTTACTTGGTAGTTAATAAAAATAGAATTTTTTTTTCTAAATATTAAGGTATTAACTATAGTTTTACATATTTTTTTGTTAGGTAAAACAATTTTTATGATAAAAAATATAGTTATAAGTTATCTGCATATTAATGAGACATTATCTTCACATATTCGGCCCTCATAATAATGTTTAATTGTATTGTTGAATAATTTTTCCATCAAAATCATAAATTTGAGGGTGAGATGTATAAAAGCTTTTAATAAAATAACTGTAGAAAGATTCACAGGCGTTAGTTGTCCGTGYTCATGTTGCGAAAGCTGATGCTCAAATAATCGGAGGAAGATCAGCAAATAAAATATACGTGTTTAAAATATAACAAAAAAATTGTGTAAGTCGATCATTTTCAGACATCGGAGGCGTTAATTCATAGTTAATAATATAATCGCAAACATTTTACTATAGTCGCAATTTACTATACCCATTTAGAACACAAAAAATCACGGGCGCAATTTACTATAATATTTTTACTACCTATTTAATGTGAGCACAATTTACAAACACCCGTACTGCGCACAATATGCAAAGACTATACGCCATATAATAACTAAAATGTTCAAACCATATAGGTCCAGTGGGGTTCCGGAAACACTGGTCAGATCCGATGACGTCAGTTGGGTTGTTTGTTCGGTTGCAGTGTAGTCGACCCGTTTGAGTGGTATTATCGCAACGAGTGGTATAAACTCCCAAGGATACGCAAAGTTTTTGTCGTTATTCTGGTATCGTTTTTAAGAAAAAAAAAAAAAATTATAATAATGAAATATGTTATATATTATATTTCCAGACCTTTGTGTCGTAAATAAATTACTAACACGTAATCACTGTGACTCGGGATAAGTCGAGACCGTGGATGGGGAAAAACAACGAAGACCGCACTGCGCGTCACGACTACAACTCCACCTATAATACGGGTGGTGGGGTAGATATACGCAGTGGGTTTTCCGCGACGACCGAGATTAGGTGGGGGACGAGGGCCTCTTGTTGTACCCGTTTTGTTATATATATGAACCTCGTCGGATACTGGCCAAGTGCAAGTCGTTATCGATACGGCGACGGTGACAACTGCGACGACGGTGACCATCGAAGAGTTGTACACTGACCGACGTCAATTATAATTAATATCATAAATCACAGAATTTATATCTATCTCGTCACTGACACGCAGAACTCGCTCTAAACCGTACCGAGGGTAGTATAAGTGTAGTCATATTCAACTCCGGTCAAAATTCACCAAACGCCAGCAAAAATGGCCACGAAAACCTTACTGTTACCCACGCCCGAAAAGTTGAAGGAGATTTACCAAGACTTGGGCATGACAGAAGAAAAGCTCGACGCGGACGTGAAGACCATTGCAGAATGGATGCGTAAACAGCCCCACCTTCCCAACCCTGATGGTAAATTATATTATTATATTGTTATACCTAACCTAATAAATTATATTAAGATTATGCTCATATGATAAGACTCTATAAAATTTAAAAGTCGTAAAAAATAAATCGTCTTAATATTCCAATGTTTTAGAATTTTCTTTCTTAATTTAAATAAGTAATAACATTATTTAATAATAATACAAAAAAACCTCAATTTCCTATTTATATATATATATATTTATCTCGTTAAAATTATATAATGATTTTTATTTTGCAGTTGTTTAAACAATATTATACTAATATTTTCAAAGTTTTAATATCTTTTAATTGACGGAATAGCTTAGAACTTTTCATAACTAATTTTTGTACAAAAAAGTAAACACAAACTCGTAAAATAGATGTTTGAAGTTATTACTATAATTATTTCACATAATTCATTTGAAGTGTACATTTAACACTTATAAATAGGTGATTTTCTCGACAAAATATATTTAATTCTAAAAAGTAATGTATTTATCACTAATCATTACATTTAACGAGTTGTATATACGTAGAAACGCGTTTGTTATTTATTTTCAGGTGATGAACGAAGAATTCGTATGTTTTTAATTCTTTGTAAAAACAGTATGGAAAGAACCAAAGAGTCTTTAGATCAATATTACACATTAAAGTCAATGGTTCCAGAATTCTTTGGTGACAGGGATCCTACTTCACCACCACTTTTGCGTTCAATGAAAACATCGTTAGTACATACTTTTTATATTATTATAATATACATACATTATTACTGGACATTATTTACAATGGTACTTAATACCTATAATTTTCTTAGATGATTAGTTTATTTTATACACATACTTCTAATTATGTACATGTCATGGTTATTAATTTAAAAGTGTAAATAGTTAGGTACTATAATTAGGCACTTGTTGGATTTTCAAAGAATGATAATATATTATTTAAACCTATAATGATTTTTAATTTTATAATTGTGGATGTTAAAGTATATATCATGTATACGATTACTTTTCAAATTGTTGATAGTAGGTAATAATAATGGCCAACAGTCAAAAAATTTTCAATGATTTTTAGCGTAATTATATAACAGTATTACATTATAATAATAATAACTATTTATAATATATGATTGTTTAACTATATATTATTAGAATAATATTATAATTATATACCTATACCATTAAGTAGCTATATTGATACAACTGGTAGTAAAACTATTGTAAGTAAAAATGTAAAATTTTAGGTTACATAAAATCATTATAGCTGCAAACACACATTCGTGATGCCATTAAAGCTTTAATTCACGCTATAAATAGAAAAATAATTAATCATCTGTTTATCTCAATATTATCTATACTATGTAACGCTAAGTTATGTCCAATGGCCATAGAAGATTTGGATTGTTCTAAATAAAAATTGAAATCAATTTTTCTTTTCAATGTTTAGGCTTTTCATTCCTTTACCAAAATTAACACCAGAAGGCTACAGGGTTTCTCTAAGTCGTATCAGATGCCCAGAAATAGATGATTTTGAATTCGCAGACTACGTCAAGGTCAACTTTATGTCTATCGATATCAGGTTGTCCAAATTGGATATGTACAAAAAGGAAATTTTCGTCTTTGACTTGAAAGACATCACCATGGCTCATCTGACCACTATGTTACCGCATATGAAGAAGTTCGTTTACTGCGCTACAGTGAGTATACTAGTTTTGTTTATGAAATTATACACGATCACTGGAACCTAATTTTATGGAATAGAATAAACACCACACGGGCTACAGAAATAATATTGTTTACAATAGGCGAATAACCGTGGTAAGAAATGGAAAAATAATTGCTAAACAACGCGTAGAAATCTAATTAATAATGGGTTTTGATTTTTTTTCGTTTTTCTGGATATGATTATTATTATGATTAACCAAATCGTAATTCATGATTTTATAAGAACACATACTTCGTTGTTTGTACACAAAGTTATAGTTAAAAACTTTGACTTTCTACGTATTGAATCAGCATACGTATAATATACTTATAACTATCTGTTAAGATATAATTTATACATAAACCGTCCTTAAACATCTATAGAAGGTACACCCACTAGTCCGGACAAACCTGTTGCTAAAATGTATCATATGGTATGTTTGTAAGAACATTATTACACACACTCACAACGTGATATCGCAGTAGTATTATTTCATATAAAAATTCGATTTATTGACGTAGGCACATTCTTCGAAGAAATACAATTTTTGTATGGGCATTTGCGGACAACATAAACTCTGYGGAATATCATGACTGCAGCAAGCCTCCGCGTCTTATTTCTGTATGKTAAATTTATGGATCGAATCAAGAAACTAGTTAGATCGGTTTTTCTACGTCACGGAACCTATTCCGGAATTATTTAATTCCATTGTCAAGGTTGCATACTATCGTGTCGAGCCGAATTATGTTATTGCTATACAAAGCGGCACGTTTTTAAATAAGTCGTTTGGTGATTTATTCCGAAGCGTATCGTTTTACCAGTTTTCTATATTAATAATAATTATATTTAAAAACATATTCTATTTAAATATGAACGCTACAATCTCCATACGTAATAATATATCCGTCTAAAATTATAATTATTGTGACGCTTCGGGATATATTTGTTAAATTTGCGTTTTTTTTTTTTAGTAAAAATAAAAATAATTTCTACCAGAAATAAACCTGTCCGTGAACTTACGTATAATATTATACATTTACATATTTTACWATAAATCATATTAAWGAGACAATTGCTTTGGTTATTAGTTACCTATATTATAGTTAATTATATTGTTCAACTAATTAACAATATCGTAATTACYTCGTGAKTCCGATGACGTACTACTACAAAACCAGTTAAAAAACAAACCAACTCCTACGTGTGTTGTTGGGACTGACATAATTCATTGGGTCTTTTTTAAATTTTATCCAAAATTATAAATCAAAGTTTTAAATGCACACTTAACTTTTACRGTTCACGATTTTGAAGCTTTCGAAAATCATATAATGTAATTGACTTAAAAATTTGAGTTGAAAGAATTTGTGCATTTTAACTACATGTACACATGTGCATAAAGCAACGATATTTTTTCCGAAATTCCAGTAATAGTCTTTGTAATCAGTTAGAAGTGGCAAAAACAATCGAATATATTTTGTTATACTATTGATAGGTTAGGTTAAGTTAACCTCCCTAATATTATTGTCATGTTAATACCGTGTCGTCTTAAGACAGCTGATGACGAAATGCATGACATGACGTTCATTATGATGCGCGTAATTTAACGTGTAGGTAATAAAGTTTTAATATGCGTTTGAAATCGTGTTTTCAGACAGCCTATCCATTGCGAATTCAAGAAATTCACATTGTCAACATGCCAAGCTACGCTCAAACAATGGTCAACATGGTGCTGGGTGTTTTGAAAAAGAAAATCGCCAACAGGGTGAGTTACTTTCGGCATTTGACATACCACGTGCTTCTGAACAAAATATTATTTACAATTAAAACGGTTTCGATAGTAACGTTTTTTTTCTTGTCTTTCTCGCTATAGATTAAAATTCACAGCAACCTCGAAGACCTGAAGAAGCATCTCACACCAGACATCCTGCCTYTGGACTATGGTGGTACTTTCCCGAAAACTAGCGAAGAATTAATCGGTAAGTCTTTTCCCGTTAAATTATTTATAAACTATTTATAAAAAAAAAAAACAATATTATAGACAATATGTACACTGTACAGTCTTTGTTTTCTAATAATTTCTAATTTTCTAATAGGTTTTCCGACCTCTCGAAGTGTACATAATTATAATAACAATAATAATATAATAAATTATTACACTTTGCGTGATTTACGTAGGTATATTATAATGTTATCCTTTAACGTTGTGATATTCCTGACTATAATAAACGTTACTGAAGCGATTTTCTCCAAGCCAATAGTAATAAAATAAAACGCGTTCCTCACCCCATAATCGTTAAAAGTATATTTATTTATGTTATTTATTTGATATCGTTATAATATTGTTGCTGAGTTGTATCCTTGATATTTTGCTCACGAACAACRGTTTGATATACAATATTACTATCGGTTGATACGTATCACGTTGCAATTTACGTCATAAGTTTAGAAGGTATGGTAAGAACACTAAGAACTACGCATTTTAGACTACCACCTAGGTATAAACAACATGGGATATGGAAGRTAATAAGTCTAGATTTGGTTCAAGTCTACTCAATACGTCACTATTGCTTGTTCGCATATACACCACGTAATATCACTGATGTCATTAGGTTGCTATAATATAAATAAATATATTAAAATTTTGGTTCGTACYATTTTACCATTTTATTTATAYCACGAGGATTAAACTACATCGCGAAACTAAAGGTTTATGTCAAGTCACGAAAATTGAAAATTGAGCGTTTGGCCAGACCATATTATGTATTTGAATATTATTTTGCTAAATTATTATTTATGACAGTAGAGATAATTAGTGTTATATACTACAGTAGTAGTCATCTTCGTAATTATTGTGGAATSTWTGAAACGTTTTAAGATTTTATCGATCCGTAATGACTAAACTAAAATTRTATAATATGAATTATGCCTTATATGTCTCGTTATATTTTGCACACGGACGATYATCGACTCGGTGCACATCAATTTTAGTATTCACGGCACTTTATCCTTTGTTTATAAATTGCATAAATTTAACACGGTGAATTTTCTATTTTTTAATGATGTGGACGTATATTTTGTCTGAGTTTCGATGGCTTGACGTGCGTTTTCATTAATGGTGAGCCAACTTTACAAATTTCTATAAACATGTGTAAATTATATTCGATTATATTTTAGTTCACACATTAAAAATGTTTAATACTTGTCCATTCATACATCTAAAACTTTTGTCAGATTGGTGCGATGGATTATATTAACAAAAATAACTAAAGTTGAAAAATTTCCCAAATTTTAATCTAAATTTATATTTTACTTCAAGTAATGGTTAAAAATTTCTTAAAATTGTCATTGTTTTTTTTTTTTATATATAAATATCTGAATGATTAAGTATGATAAAGTTGCATATGAAAATATTTAAAAACTGATATCAATGTAGGTTGTAGAATACTTCCATGTATCAATTAAAGTAAAAATAATAAAATTTGGTTGACTCCGCAGAACAGAAGAATTGTTATTTCTGCATAATATACTATAAGACATCATTGAGGAAAAAATAATTACATTAGCAACTGGGTGATTTAATAAAAATATATTGACGCGTGTGTCTTGAATACATTAATTGTCGTTTTATTGGCACGAATTCGGTAGATACCACCTAATACCTAACAATATTTTTGTTGTTTTGTTAACAAATAATGATATAAATAATGGAACTGGCTATCGTGTACTCAATACTAAGCCCTCGGGGATTTTTTATTTCCTTAAATATAATAATCGAGTTTGTTATTCTTTACGACAACAATAATAACATTATACTAGTTTATTACCTAACTTAAAAAACCGGATTTTTATGCACCGACAACGCGACGATGGTGACTAATATCGACCAGACCAACCTATATGTAGACGACAAAGAATGCTACAATTGATGTTAACTATTTTGCTCTCTACGCGTCATAAAAAAAATAAAACCCTTCTTTTTTTATATCAACCTGTTTAGATACCTGTTTTTTTGATATCGTTAATAAATTGTGTGATGAACTATTAATATCTACATAAACGACAATCTGACGCCGGTTGGAAATTTTTCATTTATTTTGAAATGACTAGCCATTTCATAAATTTCAATTTTCATACATTTTACGTTGTACTACCTACTAAAACGTACTATTTTGTATAATATAAAACTAGTTTACTGTCTGATTGTCCGAGTGTCCTAACCTGTATCATGAATCGATTAGTCGACCGTATATTAATATGTATTCGTCCCAAACTAGATTATAACATAATAATATTGTAATTAGTTTCCTTGTTCTTAATCACGAAAATAATAGTATTAATTTATTATGTCCTCGGAAAAATTATATTTTTTATTCGCCAATTAAAAGGTGTCTTCGGRCGGTGGTAATACGTGGTGTGGGAACGGAAGAGTTGTCATCTGTATCTATTTTGATTATATTATTGTTTTTCGTTCACTAAAAATCCATGATTGCCAAATACATACCTCAAATGTATAATTTGACAACGTGTGTATCATAATAATTAATGGCCACTGATTAATTATTATGCTATACGCAGTGTATATAATGATAGAGTATTCAGGAAATCTCTTTTATTGAAGGTATCACATAATTACCAACTATCGAAATGTACTAGGACAAAAAAATAACAGCAAAATGGTATGAATAACTTTTATAGAATAAAGTCTAAAAGTATACGAAATTATATAATTTTTATATCGATGATATCGATTACATATTGGTTGCTTGCACGATCAAGGTCCATTTGTGAATTTCACGACACGGAACGATGATAATGATGATAATATTATGCACCTACTGGTGAATTTAAAGAATATTATACACTACTCGTGTCCACATATTTTTTCTGCGTTCTACTCAAAAAGAACCCCCCCCCCATAACCAATACATCGTCCTATCGTCCTGCGATATGCATGCTAATTACTCTATAATAATTGTATATTATCTACGACGAGGCTAAATCGATAATAATAATAATATGAGGTCGACCGAACTGTGCGCGCTAGACCAATGCATGCATGTCTTATTATTGYTAACTTCTAACGGTGTTATCATTTATCCGTGAAAATAATTCAGTCATTCAAATAGGTGTGATAGTAATATAGTATTTCATGCGGTCGGACTGTTACCGATAGTGACCCAAAAACGATACAATYCCTACATAAGGTATACTCGTATTATTATTATTTATATAATTCAGTGTTGGTTTTCAGAAAAGTGTATACATTTTCTTTGAACTTAGACCCACCATATTCCATAATTATTACATGAGTAGTCAGTCCGAGTAGGTASGACCTATATGGCGGATTAYAKTGTATTTACGATTTTTATGTCCACGTGTGACGTCATAATAGTATTATATTATACGCTTCATAGACTTCCTATACATTATTGTTATTATTATTATTTGTTTTGCTGCCAGCGTGTGTTAACTTTTTACGGTCACTTTTATAAAATAACGCGTGTTGCAGTTTGTAAGCTTCAGAATTTGGATAGGTACCTACCTGTTTATTAAAACAATAATATTGTATTGCATTCACCGAAATGATAATATTATTTTACTCGTTCCGATGTAACCCAACAACAATATCATTTGTATACATATAGGTACAATACAGCTATAATACATACAGAYATATTGTTATACACACATGCAATTATTATTTTATATGTATATATATACATATATTATATATAAATACGCATGTCATAGCTCGATCGAGTTTTCTAACCACGTCGGTATTGTTATGAAACGTGCCGTTTTTTAACATCGCCGATTCGTGCGCATGACATTATTGCGATTCGCGGTTTATTTATATTTTAGATAATATGACGTCCAAACGGCATCAAGAAAATAATAACATAATACGTGGATCATAAAAATGTATTTCGCAGTAATGTAAAAATATATATGTTTCTCAAACGTATGATCGTGATAATATATCATTATAATAATGTAAATGAGAAAAATATTGACTGGTTCATCAAACAAACAAATAAAATAAAACAAAACACCAACCGGGCATAGGAAAAATGTCGTGTTAATATTCCAAAACATTCCAATGTGTTTTACTATAAAAACATTATATTTATTTTTTATTGAGGGATATTTAACATCTTATATAATATATTTTCATGTCAAAATCCAACTATCTATAACTTTATTTTATTTATTTATTTATCTTATATTATTGCAGTTGATTGGCAAGAAGAATTGATGAAACACAAGGATTGGTACCTGTCTCAAAATTCGGTCAATTGTGATGAGAACAAAAGGTCAAAGAAACCTTGCGTTAAGGTGAACATGCTGGCTGGAGTTGAAGGCTCGTTTAGAAAACTTGAAGTCGACTAATATTTTTGTGATTAATTTTTAGAAATATATTTTTTTTTTTACTTGTGAATTGATTAATTTTTCGTTTCATAAGTTTATCCGACATAGACTTGATAGGTTTTGTACAGTATTTAGTTTTTTCGGTGATATTAATAGCATGCGTTTTTATGTAAAGTATGCTTAGTAGTATAAGTTGATATTTCATTATTTTTTAATAGAAATATACAATAGTACCTATGTGAYATAAAAAAATGTGTAGTTTGTACCTTTCTTAACTTCTTTTGAGTTCATTTTTATTATACACCCATCCATGATACAGTTATAAGTATTTATAGCTTTTGGCTGTACKATTCTCGCGAGTTTATTTTATATGAATACAAATGGCTCAACACGTAAGCACCAACCCAAGACCCTATTAAATATATTACATAATTTTAAATAAATAACAGAAAAAAACATTTTTAAACAACCCAACAACTACACGTGCGTTTGAGAATACATTTATTAAAATTACTTTGATAACTTATATTTGTTAGAAATCTCCGTGTACATCATATTTTTCGGTCAAACTCCAAAGACTCGTACTTTGTATACTTGTATTATTTGTTTTCGTCCAAATAACTACATTAATGTTTGAATATTCTGGCTAGAGGTTAAGATCTTCTATAATATTAAAAAAATGTATACAGGGTGATTCTTTTATCAAACAACACTTATATGGTGTCTGTGTGTAAATACCACGTAACATACACCTATAACACACAAACACTACTCAAAACCACCCAACTTTGGGAGGCTATATCTTGTAAACGGATTAACGAAAAATGAAAATTTAAACGTGAAAATTCATTGAAAAATAGCCTTTTTAATTTATGAATTTTTAAGTATAGGTTGTCATTTGAAAATCAAAAGTTGATAATGGTTAACCTGATAAA